ATGCCTTCCTTCAGTAAACCTCAACATAAGTAAATCTAAGAACTCAGTTTTGTAGAAAATAATTTTTTTGTTTCTACATTTGCTTGAAGATTGGAACTGTAATTCAGCAAAATGCTGAAGCATGTCCATAAAATCTATTAATTTCCCTAGAGCTTTAAAACCAAAATGTTTTATAGGACCAAAAATATATTAAACATAAGAATAATATTATTTCAAAAACATAGTTGTACCGAACTCAAGACAAGCACAGCTGCTCTGTAGCCCTGGGAGCTTTGATACCCCCTACCACAGTGACACTGTAGTGACTCTTTCAACAATGAAGGTGATGGCGGCTTCCATGAATACTGTTTTTTCCCTATTTAGATCTGATCTAACTTGCTGGTGGGTGAGTTTCTCAACCTAAAGATATTCAGCCTTGTTAGAGGAGAAAATGAAGTGTTCAGCTGGAAAAACTGGGAATTCAGTCAGGGAAAGTACAGCAGTAATAAATACAGGAGAATTACAGGAAGTAAAGAGCACAGGGAAGACACATGAAATACAAACGGGTTAAATTTAAGATTGTTTATGACCTTCTGTCACTTTGGTTCACAGGATGTATTTGCAGGGAGCTGGGCTAGGGGCAGTTCTCCATTACTAAAATAAAGTATTTCTCTGCATTTTACATAAAAGCAAATAGTTGTCTGTCACAATACTCTACAGTTTTACTTGTGTGTTTACCAGTTCCTCAGTTCTGGGAATCGAGCATTTCTAATGCAAAGATGTGGTTAAAACCAGAACTAATTTCTGCAGCCTGTTGAATGGCTTAGAAAACTTAAGGATAAACTGGCTCTCTAAGCATATCTTGCAAGCTCCATTAGTCTAAATGCTTTCAACAAACAAGGAGGAAAGCAATGCCCTGGTCAAAAAAGCTCAATTCAAGATTCAAAAGATTTTCCATCACCATCACCTTTCCTGGGAGCTGCACCACGGGGCTGTTTCACTTGGGGTGCAAATATGTCTGTGGAATACAGTCACATATCCACCTCTGCAGGGTTAATGGAGATTAAAAACTCCACTGAGAAGCTGGCAGTGCTTGCAACTCACGTGAGTGTCTCTCACAAACTATGCCAAGGGATCCAGTTTCTGCCATATTCTGCATCTGCCAAGTGCCAGATTTTCACAGAATTTGTGAACTTTACAAAGACCCACGATTGTAAAGGAAATGTAATGGTAGCAGAGCTACTGTACCTTGAAAGGTTCCTTAATAAGTGCATTTAAAGGTAACAAGTTGTTTCTCTGAGCTGCCAGCTTTAAACGTGCAGTTTAATGTATTAGTGAAAAAGCCAGTTCTCTCCTCATGTTTTATAAAACCCTAGAGCCAAATTACGCCTTCATGACACTTTTTTCTACCCCCATGACCTCAGACTGCGGTTCTGATAAAATTCTATGAATAACCAATAGAATCAAATTATAAATTAAAACCCAGTCATTCAAACAAATCTCAGATTGCTTAAGTGCCATAAAAACAGAAAAATCCTGTTCAGATTTTCACAAACAATCCTAACCACACATATAAACCAGACATGTCACTCCCTTTCTGCTTCACTGCTCAGGCCAGCCAGGGGGAATCACAAGGCTATGACCATTTCAGACAAGTCACTGTAGTATTGATTTTGCCTCTGCTCCAGCTTATCCAGAAAGTGCCCTATTGATTTTGAAGGAATTATTTGTGGACTACTAGGCATGAGAAGAAAAAAAAAGTGCATGTCCTGATTGCTTAGTGGCACTCCATGTTAGGTTGCACTTGTATCTGTCTTGCACACACATTCAAAACTGACCATATCTGCTATAGTAAATAGCATTGCCAGAGTGTGAGCAGAAGACATAATATACACATGTAAAATGTGGTTTGATCATCTCCACATCTAGACAGACAACTATTACCATACATGTAGCAACTTTTACAGAAGCCTGCTTTATACCCAGCCTGGAGTCAAATGCACTCTTGTGACATATAACAACACAATCTGACACATGCAAGTTAAAAATTTGATATAAATAATCTAGTTTGAGAGGGAAAGGTTATGTTGGTTTTGTTTGTTTTTCAATAAGATCTATTTGTTTAATTTACAAATATACCTGTGTTTACCACTGTGTGCATTTTTCTAAATTTTGCCCTTGTTCCTAGCCCAGAACTGGTCAATTTATGTTCCTGGACTTCACAAATACTTCTTCAAAGGAGTGCTGACAGCTTGCTGGTTATGCTGATTCACTCGCTTCATTCGTTCAACACATCATCTGTCCAGTCATTTGTCATTGTCCTGACCACTGTGTTCAGTCAATAAATCTTTACTGGAATAAATTGTTTTGCATGTGAGTGATCTCTTGATTCAAGTAGTATTTCTCTTCAGTTATATGTATGTTATCATCATCTCCTTTATCCACCTCCCACTGACTTTCACTGCAAGCAACTACTGGCTAATACAGCATATTTCCTTTAACTAAAAAGAAACCTAAAGAAAAAGCACATCTGACACAGGAAATGTTCCCCAAGGAAACATTATTTAATTAACTAAATTCTGAGACCACCACTCACGTATTACTTGCTGAAGAACACATCCAATCCTGGTTTCCTCTCAGTTTTCAGAAAGGCAGAGGATGTAGTGGAGAGCAGAGTTACAGGCTGGACTAGAATTGAGAACTTAAAGAAGACAATCTCGGTAGTCCAGGCTAATCTCTAGCCCTCTTCTCCATAAACTGAAAACAACCACTGACCTAAGCTATTAGTAATTTGATAAGAACCCTCACAATATTTGCTACAAGGAAATGGAAGTCTCCCAAAAAGTTTATTCCCTTCTAAGAAGTGACAGACAAAGATCAAGCTGGGGGAAGTTGGCAGATGGACAGATGCTGCAATAGGACTAACTCTGTTCTGAGATACTTTCAGATTAAATTCTTTGTAAGGAGATCAAACAATCCTAATAGAGAAAGGACAGTACTTTGGAAGAAGATGTTAATTCTCCAGTTTTACAAAACATTTAGTCCTTAGGTAGAGCAGTTCCTTCCAGCATGTCTTGGACCATGAAAATGAACAGATCACTAAATCTGGAAGTTGGCCTAAAACCTCACACTTCGAGAAAAATCTCTCCTTCTCAGTCAGAGTTATTGTTTTGGTCATCAGTAACCATTAAATCCTGCCTTGTAATTATTGTTCCATAATTCACTTACATAGTTACATAGTTAAAATATTTATTTGATGGACATTACTACAGTAGGGCAATTTGCATATATTTTTATCGAATTAATAACTTGCTATATCAACAAAGTCATTATTAAAAAACCATATGTTTATACTACCCTTCTGTTACTAAAACTGACCAAGTTGAGGACCAACCAAAGACAACCAGCTGAGGAAGAAGCAGAGAAAAAGAGCTGCATATGTACTCAAAACGCGTTATACCAGGCAGGTGAGGGAAAGGGGTGCTAGAAACCCTGTGAGAGGAAGGATCATTTCCAAAGGCAGATTGAGAGGTTCCTGTCTCATCCAAAGTACCTTTTCGCGAAGTTTCAAACTTGGAAAGCTCCATAAATAACGGTATCTTTGCATGCTGTGTTGTCTAATGAGTCAGGTTTCTTCTGCATCTTTGATTAGCTAAAGAAGAGCTCTATGCACAAGGTTTTCAGAAAGAAAGATAACATCTCTTGACAATTTCTTTTGACAACTCAGTGCACTAGATTAAGATCAGCATTACAGCAACATTGCACTACTCTTTCAGTCTTACGCCTTATGCAAAACTTGGTGTTTCTTTAGAGCTATGTATAAATCACATGTAAGCATATAAAAAAATTATACATACATATATAAAATTATATATACATATATAACAAATATAATACTTTTGAAATGGTTAAATTCTTCCCCACCTCCCAAAATATGCTGCCAGAACAACTATCAGTTCCAGATGAAGAGTTACTACAGCACCATGTTTGCAAAAAAAAAGAACAATTCTCTATTTTTGTTAAGGAAAAAAAAAATGGGTGAAAATATGCTGCCATATTATTTTTCTCCTGCTGATAATCTAGGTTTTTCATAGTTGTTATTTTTAGAGGAATAACATAATCAGTAAACTAGCAGCACAATATCTGTGCAAGACATCAAGCTCTGGTTTATGTGTTACAAATTTATATTGTCTGTGAAATTTAAATTATACATACATTTCTTAATTGTTGACTAAAATACATTCCTTTCAAGTGGACAGTTAGTAGTAGTAACCAAATTTGACCTTGATTGTAACAAAATATGTGGTTTTAATGTTACCCTCAATATTACATTTCCAAAGCAGTTACAGAGGAGACCAGAAAAGTGGAATAAATAACAGATCATAATGAATTAAAAAATTATGCCGAGCAACTGTAGTTCAGACAATGGGAAGAAAAGATAATGATTTGTGGCCTGCACAGCTTTGCTCCCCTCATCTCCTGAATATGTTTTTATGGCAAAGGGAAGAAGAAAGTCTAGGAAATGAGACTACAGTAGATATATATAGACCGGGCAGTCAGAGAGCAACTAATAGTGCAAATGGGGAACAGAGCAAAAGGAAAAAAGGAAAAGTTAGCAGCAGAGTGAAAAAGGAGAATAGAGTTGTAAGGAAGGCTTTACTCATAGCTTTTAAATGTGACCAAGCACCACCACTCTTTGCATATTAGTAAAATAAAAAACTGTGAGATTTTCCTATGATTAAAATATAATCATATCTGCTTTACTCCAAATACAAAGTTCTGTGTTATCTGCATGTTTCTGAACACAAGAAAAAAAGTTCATGACACTTAGTGCTGCTACATGGGAACACTGTTTGCAAGTAAATGAAGAAAAATCAGGCTACACAAAGTAAACTGATATCTCAGGATGAAAACCCTGACCAGAAAGCGGAAGCCCAACTGCAAGAATGAAGATTATCTGCCCAAAAGAGAGGACAACAATGGAAAGAGTACAAGACAGGCAGAAGCAGATGAAAACTCACCACTGGAGCAGTTGGGTCCTCCCCAGCCAGGCTCACACTGACAGGTGTTCGGAGCAATACAACGACCGTGGACACATTTATCAGCACAATGAGCTGTCAGGAAAGAAAATAAAAAATTAAAACAACTAAAGAACACCTAGCACTAAAAAAAATAAAATTCTAAAAATATTGCAAAATAGTCCTGATCCAGATCTTTTTTGTCTCAAGTATCTTTTAAAAGCAAAATAAACATCAGTGTACTAAAGTTTGATGGCACCTCTTCAAAACACATTTCACTTCAGTCTTATCTATTTCTCCTAAGTTTGAAGGCTCCAACTAAAACCATGTTAGTGTTACTCAAACATTTCTGCATTTAACAACAAGAAAATTGTACACATTTAATGAAAAAAGAGTCATAGTATGATATAGGTTGGAAACCCATCTGACCATGGTCCTGGGCAAGAGTCTCTGGTTGGAATTTGGACAGGATGACTTTCCTTCCAATCTCAACCACTCTGTGATTCTCTGAAGAAAATTCTCATGACAAGAAAAAGAGGTGAATGTCAGCAGGCATGAAAAGAAATGCTCTTTTGCAACAACAAGGATAAAATATGATTTGCAACACACTGGCATTTTAATACCAATTTTTCCAAACAATTGCACAGTTCAAATGAAGCATAAAAGAAACAGTGATGGTGATTGAAGTAAGGCATGAGATATAAGCCCTCTGAATCACTGCAACCTTTATTCTAAGTGCTAAGCAGAGCTGCCTGAAACTTTTTTCACTTTTTTTTAATGATTTACAAACATGAATTTCTAAGTTAAGGTTTACTTTGAAACAGAGCTTTTATCTGAAACTTCTAAGAAAAAGTTGAAATGGCTTTGATACTTGGTACATCCATGTAACTGACCCAGAATATAGTACACCAAAGAGGAAGAATCTCCAACTAGCAACCGTTTGCTGGCATCATATTCATCACAAAATACTCTTAGTCTTCCAAAATACATCCTCAGTAGTACTTTCCTTTTACTTTGGACAACAGTAAAACTTAAAGTATGTTCGCAAGAGAATTTTATTGGTACCAACATTTCTAGAGAAACCTTGACAGGAATCTACTGCTATACCAAAAGAACAATAGAAAAAAGTTTAATGGGGCTACATGTAGATCAACTTTACTTCTGAATTGATTGAAAATTCTCTATAGTACTTAGGTAAAATACTTGTAAAATGTTCTGGGGTTTTTTCCTAATTAAAGATGATGAAGCACATTGGTCATCCTTACATTTTGTATGGCCAAGAAAAAAGAAAAGCCCACAGAGATCAATCACATATATCCTAAACATCTTTGGTTACCTATTATTCCAGTAATTAATTGCTTATTTTTACAGCCTTTAATTTTAATTCTCAACTTTTAGTTCTAACAAGCAACTTTTAGATTTGCATTCTTCTTTAGAAATCAACAAGGAGAACATTAATTTTTAAATGATGAAACTATATAAACGCAAAGCTATTTCATTGTTCTCTATTTATTTATTATTAAAAGACTGAGTTTAAATAATACATCACAATTTTCCATTAGTCTTATAACTTGACATGAATTACTTGTATCCTTGAAGATTCATGCCTAGTTAGTACTGTCCGGGGTACCAAAGGTCTCCACAAACCAAATCTGTGAAAAATCTTGTCAGCAAACCATGAGACAAAAATAAAACTGTTGTAAGAAATCGGATCCAGTGAAAGGCACTGAAGAAGCTCTTGGAGCATCTCCTTGCACTGCCCCTCATGCCATGCTGAACACAGCACACTCTGGGTTTACATAAAAATATATTCTGTAACCAAAATAAATTGTTCTCTAGACACCTTTTGGGCTAAACAATTCTTGGCAAATGAATCCGAGTTAATATCTGTAACACACAGCATGTGTAGAAATATTATTGCACTAGACGTGGGGATAAGAGAACCAAAATTTACTAAATTATCTACAAAAAAGGTGATGACGACACAAAAAGCACTAGAACAAGCTGAAAAGACAGGAATGGTATCAGGAACAAATAAACTATTTTCTCTTGCATTTCTGTAGAATTGTTGGACATGATGTCACCTCCAAGAGCAGGTTCTCTTACCCCCCTGTCTAGTGCAATAATTTTTTTACATATGTTGCCTGTTACAGAAACAAAGCTTGAAACATTTTGGCAGTAATTATGCACATAAAGTAAATGACCACAACTCCCTCAAAATTAATTAAAATAAACATTGATGGTGAAAAAAACTCAAACATATTTTAAACTATATAATAAACGTGTTTTTTCAAATAAATTCTTCATGTCTATACTGCATGTTAGAACATATCATTTTTTCCTGTGCTTGATGACTGTATGTTATTAAAATGACATATCCAGTTGTGCATTAAGATAGATGATTCATTGTCTATTTCATGTTTTGTGGAAATGCAACAGGCAAAATTCTCCATTAATGTTCTTAGAAATGTTCTACACTGTTAGAAATTGTATGTGAAGTTAATGTTCAAGCTACCAAAATGCTGCTAGGATCAGTCTACAAGAAAGCCACCAGAAGACATCTTAAAACCTTTGAATTCTTTCTTTCCAAAATCATGCCAAAAATTCAATGGACTTAGTAAACATTAAAAAAAAAAAAAAAAAAAAAAAAAAGACTGCACTTTTTGTTAAAACTTCTAGTCTGTAGCTCAGCCTAACACCCATATACCAAATCTCCTAGGGATTACCACTGATATTAGAAGACAAGTGACAGGAAATTCTTTGCAATAAATAAGAGATGAATCAATCATTCAGCCTGGTATAGAGTTTCTAAGGCCAGGAGTAAGCTCCTTTATAGAATTCCACAGAATTATTCTACCTTTATATCTGCATATATGTTGCAATCAGATAACCTCAGAAAGTTCATCAGATCTAAACATGCACTGTAATTTTTAAGAGCAAAACCAACAACCTGAGCTCCAGTTAACCTACTGTTCTAAGGGATACTGGCAGTAATGAAGACAGAAGTCAGAAAATTGTACATTATTCATATCCTTTATAAACAGGAGTTATATGAGGACAGCACAAAGCACTCTCTGTTAGTGGGAGTTGCTTACTTAGTAAGTACTAACAGATATCTTCACATTTATAAAACAGTCCAAGTACTGACCTAAAATAATGTTGGATTTCAAATTAAAACGTAATTTTTTTAACCTACCTGAAGACAAAATGAAATGGCACAACTAAGAAAACACAGGATATTTTTTTCTATTGAATGCTGCTTGCCATAATAAACTCAGTGTGCAAGAAAATATATCTATACTGCCCAAAAAGTTACCAAAAAAAAGTGTCTATTGTACTATTTATAAACATCATTTTCAACTTTCCTAAGAGGTCCCCTGAAAACCTTCCAAAGGCTGTAGGTGGAGGCTGACTTCTGATGCCACTTTGCTGCTTATGAATAGTGATGTAAATGCAGCATCATTTCAACAAACTCATAAGCAATGTCAAGACAGGTATCTGAGTCGTTTAACAGGTTTTTTTAAAAAACTTATGGTGGCTGTATTGGGGTGGTCTTCCTCAGATATCTACTTGTAGTGTGACTAGTTTCTTATTATTATCAATGGCATTTCTCCAAGGAAGAGGATGGTAAAATTCTCCATCGGGGTTTGGACAGTTACAGTACAACATTTATTTTTACTTTAAATATGAACAAGCAGGGCAAAATTTTCCATATGAGTGATAAAAAAAGGCCTTTTTATATATTTTCCATATTCCACATATACTGAACCCAAAGATACAACACAAAAAGAATTCTAATCAAAAAGTAAAAACATAGCACAAGTTTCATGTATTGAAAGTTTTCAGGAAGAAGTGTGGAAGTCAAGAGTCACAATTTCACAGAAGTATTTTATCCTTAGATGAATTCAAGTTCGTCCATTCAGACTGAACTCCAAAAGACTCAAAATACCCTCTTAAATTTTAGCCAGTGCTTTTCTCTGACTGTTGGTCATTCTTTTCCTTTGTGAGTAGAACATTTACAGACTTTATCAACATGAGGCCGGCACATTCTTGCAATTCCTTAAAAAAAAAATATTAGTTTGACCTTGCTTTCTCATGTGCAGAAAACATGTTAAATCAAAGATTTTACTGCTGCGTTCCAGGAAGTGTTGTAAAACAAAGATATAAATAAGGATAATGTGATGCGTTATGACATTCACAGGGTCTGATTTTCCAGGGATACAAATAAACTCTGTCAATTACCTCCAGTATGGCACTCACAACAAGTAGAATGGCACAAATTAAGAAACAACCTTGCATTTGTATTGAATAAATAAACTTAATATATATATTACCTGTCCCAAGTTCCCTGCTGTCAGTCCTGACAATAGGAGCACCTAATTCCCAACCAGTTAACGCTATGTGACTTTGGACAACCCACTGTTAAATGTCCTACCATACAATTCCAGGATTAACATCTGGATTAACATCTCCTCTCTTTTCATTCTGCTATGCTCTTGAATAAATACCATTTTAAGACCTTTGGTCTATACGATGTCATACAAGAGAGAGAAAGAGAGCAGAGCCGGGGCTGCCAACAGACCCTGGACACAGCTATTTTGGGATAGGAAGGTGAGACAGGGACACACACCACCCACAACCAGCCACCATCAAACAGTTTTTACAGATCTCTTTATCTACAGGAGAGTCTAAGCATGGGGATCTACTGGAGTCTATGCTAAGGAGAAAAAAAACTTGGATTTCCCTCCTGGTTTTAAACCTCGTATTTATTTATTGTGTTGGAAAACGCACTGACACTCGTGCTCTGCATTTTCCATATGATCATTAGTTATAATCACATCAAGGCTGGTTACTTATGACATCTGAGATCCAATTATCCTGTCATTTGCATATGCACAGCACTTCATGACTTCACATGACTTCAATGAGAGCCGCACGTGTACCACTGATGAATATCTGAGCCCCTAACTCAGCTTCCATGAGTCACCCATCAAAGGGGAGCCAAACCAGCACTGTGATGTAGGTATGGAATTTCAAGGCAAAAAGAGGCTAAACTTACGGACACACATTTCCCTGCTTTCATAAAATCCAGGGCAGCACTGGGATTTACGCCTGTACATTGTTTTTTCACCATGTCTGTAGGCAGTACGGTAACTGATCCTAAGGAAAGGAAGCAATGGTTTTTACACACAATTCACAATTCAGAAACAAGACAGCATATTTTCTTACACATTTTAAAAAACATTGAGGTGTCATAAGAGAAAAAATGCTCAAAGAGGTTTTGATTTATCTGTTGCTGAGTTCAAGAGTCCAAGTGTTACTCCAACAAGCCTTATGCTTATGAGTGGCCAGCAAGTAGGAAAAGAAGGAGGTGTTTTTCACTTGTGATGGTTCATACATGCGGGCACATTCCTATGAGGAAAATGCTCTTTACAGCTGTCACCAGTTTTCAATTATTCACCCCTCGTTTGCCTTCTGGAAGCACAAGAACTTTTCCTGTAACAGATCTTTTTGTTTTCCTTCCAAGCAGCATACACTTCCCCCAGAACACAACGTTGCAAGCAGCAAGGGCTCTCTCATGATATTACTGAACAAATACACCTTGCAGGATCTGGGGAATTTAATTTTGGGGACTGCATGCTTTTTCCCAAGCTGGTTTTTTTCTGTTAGCACTTCACTGGATGATACACCCCAATCCGCTACTAAAACATACGTGACATTGCTTGGACAAGCATTTTCCAGCAGACTCAGATCACAGCAGTTAGACAGGCTGGTCACTACAGCTAAACTGTCCCACACATCATGCTTGATTTTGACAGACACAAAACCTTAACAAACCCCTACAATATCAGTGGTTTGACAATATTAAGATTTATACATCACCTGTGTCGTGTGCACTTAAACCAGTTTAGGATGTCGGTACAACTGGTGTAGTAGATTTGATCAAAAGGATGCGGATATGACTCTTGCACTGTAACTGAGTAACTGGGGAGAGACAGGGAGAAAAGAGAGATCACTGAGCAAGTCCTTTGTAGTACAGTCTGATTTAATTAAATCTTTTACACAATCCTGCTATAGAACAGAATAAATATAACAAAATACTCATATGCAGCAAAATCACACAGAAAGCTCACAAAGAAAAATATATATGCAAAGAGTCACCATGTCTCTACTGTGTAACATGTTTGATAAAACTGTACTAGACATTTAAAGAAAAGTAATGTAAGCCTAAATTTTTTAAAAGACTAAAACACCTGTATCTCAAATGAGCAGCAAATCAAACTAGTGTGTAGTATATTTTCTCCTGTGGCAACTTTTATTATGTAACTGGATAGCTGGACAACTAGTTAAGGAGTCAGAAAATGAGGCTTTTTCTGTTATCACTCAAAATAGAAAAATAGAAAATAGGCCTTTCTGAAAAATTTCTTTTAAAAGCCATATCTGTGGCTATGGCAAAACATCCAGTGTATTTAGATACTAATGATGTATATAATGACATATAATGATGTCATATAATGACATATATAATGATGGATGTTAGCACAGAAATACACTTGAGTAGTAATTACTGAAAAATGACGTAACAATCATACCACCAAACGGTCCATTCAGCAATCAGAAATTCACAACTATTAAAGACAACACCTTATTTTGTTTACTGGCTAATTTTAACAGAGAAACTCCCATATCACACCACCACCACCCCCCCACCCTGAAATGCTGTACTGAAATGCTATTATGATTTTCTGCCAGCTATACAACTACACAGCATCCTAGAAATAAATCTGTGCTCTGAAGTCCAGAGCCTCTAAAGCTGTCAGTAGGGCAAAAAGAACAGAGCCGTGTTGTGAAAGGGGAAAATATTGAATCATCCCAGAAAACTCTTCAGGAGGCTGTTTATGCTGGCAGTCAGTCGGTCCCTGATTGCGCAAGGGAGTTGGAAAACAGAGGAATGCGTGGCAAGTTCCTGCAGCAGGGCTGATTCCCAGGACCAACCAAAACACTCTGAAGCCCACACAGCTTTCACTCACTTCCACCCACACCCTCTTTGACCTCTTAGCACCCACTGCAACAGCCACAGCCTCCCCTTCCTGCTGTCATCACTACACTGAGGGAAAGCACACCCAGGCCCACTTCAACTGCCCAGAACCTACTCCCTGTTTTTCCTCAAGCAGCCCTAATCCATCCAGCTGCTCCAGTCCAACAAAATATCAGTGGGATGCTGATGCTTGCCTGAGGCTCTGCGCTCTTTGTTAGACCCACGGCAGGCTCTGCCCCTTCTTGCTTTGATTACAGTTCACTTGTAAAAGACCATTTTAGTACTGACTGGAATAGGTTTATTTAAAGCACATAGCACTGCCAGTGACAGTGGCAGTACAGAGCTTGTATCTGGGCCTTTATTCTTTCATACTTATGTACCTTTGTTGCCTGCTCTGGGCAACAGCGTGAATGTTTCAGTAAGTTTACTTGGAATTCCTCCCTATTTCTGAGACACAGCAGAAGAAGGAAAAAAGTTCAGGCTTTTTCATTGGCATGCTTGCTAGATACATTTTTAGATATATTTTTCTTTCTGCAGACTTTGGTTAGCTTGTTTTAAAATACAGTATGCAGTCTTAATAGTTATATTTCAGGTTTTTACCCATTTTGCTTTCACTTCATTGCAGCTTCCCTCAAAACCACTTTTATCTACAAAAACTGTAAATGAAGTATACATAATCTAGAACAGTGTTCAGTAACATTGTAGACACATGCTTAAATACTCTAACAGATTCTTAGTATGGTTACTACTTCATATACACATTGTTGTACAAATTGTACACAGCAGTTGAGGCAGAGATGCCAAGTGCTTCACATGAAGCTCAGGTAAGTTCCTGAGGAAAGTCCGTAAGTGATTTTTTTTTTTAATAGAATCTATAAAAAAGATATACAAGTTTTGATTTTCTTTGTAAAGATTCAGCCATAACAATCATAAATAAATGTACGGTGGCTTAGCAGCACTCTCCATGATTAAACACAGCTTACCTTAAGTGCAGGAAATACCGATGTCCTCAACTGAACTGTGAAAATCAGACTGTCTCATGGACTATCTGATCAATAATGGGCATAACAATAATTATGAGCTTTGGTTTCACTATTATAATCTTTACACAAGAAAAAAAGTTTAGCAGATGCTTGAGGTTCAACCTCTCCTATCCACTGTGGCATTCTTGCGAATTAATGTGAAACTGAGTGAACAAAGGGACCAACTACATTGATGAGATTTAATTTTGTATGTTATAAATTTCTGAACCTCATAAAAATACTTAAACTACAAACCTTAATTTAGATTCTGTGAATGCTGAATAGGAAAGAATCAGCATAATCAAAATTGGCCAAATTCCAATATGGTTAACTATATTTTGCATATGTAAAAGCTTCTTTTCACTTCAGTTGGAAAAAGCTATTTTTATTCACTTCTTGTACCCAGATGGTTGTGTAACATTGCTGGTACCACTGAAGTGTTTTTTGCATCCTAACTCCTACCGCAAATACAACTGCATTTCAGCCCAATGTGAAACAGTCTTTTACTTATCCATGAATGTACCTTGCCCATTCAGTAAAGTGAATTTTTTCTCCTCATTCTGTAACTCAACAGCTTTAAATAATCTGAAGTGTGCCAAATAAAGCAAAGCAAAAATGGTAGATCAGAATTTGTGTCAGTTATTTTCCAGAAGAAAATATTACCTTTCCCAGTGGCTACACACATTAGGATCTTCCAGATTCAAAGATAACGTTGGGCCCATCCAGTGGTAGAGGAGTATTACAGGGAAGACAAAAAAGGAGTTCAAATGAAGAACCATCTTTCCGAAAAGATAACTGTAAGAAAAAACACCAAAACATTCATTAATCAGGGAAAGAATGTAAATGCCTTCACTTTACAGGATTAACAGACACCCTCACACATAACACGACATAAAAATCTAAAATATTAACCTAACACTTTAACTAAGCAAATTATTTAAATTTGCGTATTGAAACAGTCTTAATCCAGCTGGCCATTAATCCACAAATGCCAGAATAAATGCTATTAATAGGTAATTTCTAACAACTTAAGCTTCTATATTTCTGTTTCAGTGAACATTTGATCTTCTTTCCTAATTTACACTCAAATTGTGGCTACAAAAATTACCAAAAAAAAAAAAAAAAGAGATCATTGAGTCTAATCTGTAGTATAATGAGAAAATAATTTCTAATACATATGTTTGATTTAGCACAAATATTTTTACTAAACTAAGCAGAAGTAGAAATTTCTTACTTTAAATTGTATGGAACAGAATAAAGTGAACCACACCTATAACTAGTTCATGAGAAAAAAGTCCACAGGGCCATGAAAGCAAAAAAAAAAAAAGAGATGCGAAATAGACTTAGTTTACAATATCCTCTTCACAAGTCAACCTAAAAACCTCACAACAAGAAACTATTAAATTTAAGATATCTGAGGATACAGAGATTAACCTATTTTGCTAAATCCTTCTTGAAAAATGAGGGCTGCTGAAACACATTTCATGGTCTGTAACTGTTTCTCTGCATGCAGGGAAGTAGTCAATGTACTATTTAATGTACTATTTAAAAAGCAGCTGTATTTTCAGCTAATAATTCCAGTGAAATCATGATTTCATTGAAAATAGTCACTCTGATTAACCAGATAGTAAATGGTATTTCCTTTTTTCCTTTTATTCTCAGCTTCAGAACTTTCCTTTTGCAGGATACATTTAACAAAATTTAAAATAAATAAAAAAAAATAATTTGCATGAACCCCCTAGTGTATAACTTGATTGCATTCCAGATCTTTTGCTTAATTATTAAGGAAAATCAGTACAGCTGATTAGCATTGCTGAAGTGATTATATTAGCAATAACAGATGTAGATGACTCATTTAACTCTTGCTGTCTACAGTTCACACTAAGAAAAACTGTTCAGAGATTCACTTTTCATATCATATACTGCTCAAATTACCTCACCTGGTAATACATGAGTATTTTCACTATCTACAGATACATAGAATCTGTAGTTCAAGTACTGAAAACGCTCATATTGGAGAATGCCTTCTGTGTGTAAATTAGTGATTAGCAGATATATGAGAGAAAAGAAACCTCTCTTGCTAAAACAGAAAGCTTCTTCACCTACAGCACCAGATCGTTGTTCCACTGAAGTATGCAACTGAACACTAAAATCTTATTGCCTGTTAGCATTTGAGGAAAAACTTTTATTGAAAAAGCTACATCTTTACTCACATTTTGGTCAGGAATTTTAAGGGACGTCCTGTCTGTTTAGCTCAGAGACTTCTCTGCTTCCCTCAAATTTAGTGCAGGCCCATGATTTAAAAATGTTGACAAGAAAGCAGTGCAGCTGCATGAAGCAACTGTAGAGTAGCCTCCTAAGTTTCTGTAACCTAATTAAGGAAATTGAACTAATTATATGTTTATTATATAAAAGGTAATCAATAGTAGTCATATTAAAAATTAATCTGATCACCCCGAGGCATATTATAATTACTTACAAGCTCATTTTAAAATGGTGTACCAGGTGTACAAAATATGCTTCCATGAACTACGGGCACTCCCCTAAAATACATTTAAATGTGAGCAACTACACAAACTACATTTGTCTCACTGGTAAGCAGATGAAAAATCCTGTATGTGGACCACATAAGCACAGCCAGTTAACTATTACTACGCATCATCTGAGATTTGTAGGCACTTTCTCTGCCACTACCAACTATGTCGACAGTTTTGCTTTGGTTTGGGTTTTTTTGCTATACAGAGTTCAGGATCAAAACCAGGGAAAAGAACAGACAACTAAAAAAGGCAAACAATTGCTTCCCCTCTATGAGGTGAAAATTGAGACATGACTACAAATTGATCTCTCCACCCACCCAGAGCAGAGGCACAAGCAAAAGCAAGAGAATGCAGCTCTTGTAACAAAAGGAAAATACATACAAGTGGAACAGGGGGAGCAGAGGAAGGTACAATGTTAAATAATGTAAAAGAAGTGAAGGTTACTCAAGGCTGCAAACAAATATTTTTTGGTCAGCAAAATCAAGTGCTGCCGGTGAATTAACCAGGATTAGAACTGCATGAGCAAGAGAGAATAGTACGATACAGTTGCTAACACGACATAATGGACCCAAGACCAAGGGAAACGCTGATGCAGCTTTTTCATTACTGTTGCAAAAGCATTTTTACCACTGAAACATGAAAAATGAAGCAGGAACATGCCATTTAATTAGAAGACGAACTTCAGAACAGTAAGAGCCTTTCACAGCCTCTCATAGTATCTCTGAGATACAACCCTCATTTCAGCCTTTCTGGAGTGATACAGTACAGGGATGTCAAATCCTTCTCTGGGCTGTAAACCCAAGGGCTGTTCTTAATTACATTTACATTGCATTAAATTGCACATACAGCAAGTGTTATTGTAAAAAATCTTCCTTCTGTCCATCATAGTTTTCGTCAGCTTTCAGACTGAATTGTAAACCACATTGTCATTGCTGCAGGGTCCCTTCCTGGTGCTTTTGCCTTCACACTCTCCAGAGCACAATAAAGGCTACACCCTCATCCCAGATTTACAGACTGCTACCTGCAACTGAAAATTATGGCTCCAGATGAGATAAAGAGATTTTTAAATATTTTTTTAGTGAAGAACTGTTTGGTCACAAGTATGGAGGCCATGTTGCTGAGAACACAGCTCCGTTGGGCAGGGCATGTCTCAAGGATGGAAGATCACCGCCTCCCCAGGATCTTGCTTTATGGTGAACTTGCCACTGGCTGCTGCAAGAGAGGAGCCCCGAAGAGAAGATAAAAGGACTCCCTGAAACAACATCTCAGCCTTGGCCATATTGATCAACATAACTGGTCTACTCTGGCCTCCAATCGGGAGACCTGGAGACACACCATCTATAACGCTGCTGATGCCTTTGAGAAAGTACACAGGATCACTCTTGAGGAGAAAAGACAACGCAGAAGGAATCGTGTCTTGCAGAATATACCTATATTCTTTCTGCTGTGCCTTCTGCAACCGGACTTGTCTATCTCGTATTGGCCTTTTTAGCCACCAACGCGCCTGCAACAAACATGGGTGGTACCCTCCCCAAATCTTCCTTTGCGAAGCCTAGCCATGACTGAGTCTTTTTCATAACATTATACTGTCTTCACTCCTGAGGTTCAGCTCCTCTACAAGGGGCACAATTTCTTTATAAAAACATCTCTTAAACTACTAATGTCAAGGAAAGCAAAATTTGAATCTGACCTAATCTTGTCAATGATGATTAATCCTGTGCTAACTTCAGAGAAAAAAAAAAAAACCAAACCCAAACCCCTAACTGATTGCTTTTATTGATTACATTAGAGAATTAATGGGTGAGGAGCAGAAGGTGTTTTCCCTTCAGAAATCTGTAAATCAGTTTGACGCTTTGTCACATGAAATCTTGCTTACAAAGCAAATACAAACTAACCTGAATAGGAGTATTATTACAAAGATCCCAGACTGGTTGAAGATGTACAATCACAGCAAATGTAAACTGATTGGTCTTTTCTCAAATTGGACCCCAGCCAAGGGCCCAGAGTTGAGTTAATATCTAAGATGCAAAGTAAAACAGACTGACCCATTTGAAGAGTCCAAAGGTGCTTAAGATTAGGCTAAGCATATGAAATGGGAAAAACAACTCATTTAGACTGGTACCTGGAGAATTACCAAATCAGAGGCTGTACCGAAACAAGTCTTCTTGATGAAGAAGAAGTAGCAGATATGCTGCTACTCTTTTCAAGTGCCATGTTATTAAGAAAAATATATCACTAATAAATTGCCATTTTTCTTCAGTTAATAGTTAGACAATTTTTTATTTTCCAGTTTCTTAATTAGCAGAGCTTCCTAGGAAAATGAGGTTTATGTAATCACAATGTTTGCGTGTTCTGGCCTCATGTCTAATAACTTCCAAGTCCATCTGTCATTTAAACTAGAAGTAACAGAGGTGAAGAAGTCTTGAATTGTAAAGTTCCAGAGAATAGTGATAATGCACAAATCTGGAGGAGACCAGACTTTATTTGCCCATAAGTCTTGGAATTACCAGTTTTGAAAGCTACAGCATCACAATCCTTTAAGTAATGCTGCCATTTCACAGACTGCGTACCTCCACCATTCCTACTAAATATAAATGCCATAATACATGATCTGATCTTAAATAACAGAAAACACCCATTAAACTGTATTAAAACTGTCAATTGGAGCAAATATTGGAGTTTCTGGACTCTTGAAAAGTAACTCTTCTTGGCCCACCAACTTCACTCACTGTCATACAACTCTCTCAACATTCAGTGAGAGCTTCTGTAGAGGCTAAGCTGGCAGGGCAATATATCCATTTATCAGTCCTCTTCTCCCTCAAATCAGTATGAAAAGAAGGTGGGGGGAAGACAGTTCAGTGGAAGTCAAGTCTGCACAAGGCAAGGAGACATGGTAAAGACTAATGTCAGCATGCCAGACACTTTTTGCAAATAGATTCATTATTATTCCTCAGAGGAAGGCAGCCAAACATCCCAAACATGGGGTCACTTTGCTGTAGCTGTCATTGTATGCCAAATTAGAGCCCTTCCAATTTAAAATATTATATTTTTTTTTCAGGCATATAACAAGTACAGGTCTTGAATGTGCAAATGGGATCACTAAGGTTACCTACAGCACATGGTACTGTATGTTTAAAGATTATTCCCATGGGAAGTCAACGAGATGAACTGTCAAAAAAAACCTTTTGGCTAAATATGCTGCCTGGTTGTTTTCCACTCAGACAAAAAGTTACCAAATAAAGACAGTTAAAGCTGTCT